GGGGGACCCTGGGGCGAAGCTCTCCAGGCCTCGCTCGAGCCTGGTGGGACGGGGGATGCGGCAACAGGCTCTCCCGTCCCCCAAGCGCGGCTCGGGGGAGCCCGGGGCAAGGCTGTCCGGCCTCGCCCGAACCTCAGCGCTCTGTCTCAGCTCAGGAGGGCCAGGGCAAGGCTGTCCGGGCCTCGCCCGAGCCGCAGCGCTCCCGTGCGGCTCGGAAGACCCAGGGGCAAGGCTCTCTGGGCCTTGCTTGAGCCGCAGCACTCCCGCGCGGCTCGAGGGACGCGGGGGCAAGGCTCTCCCGGCCTCCCCCGAGCCGCAGCACTCCTGCGCAGCTCCGGGGACCTGGGGGCGGGGCTCGTGGGACCCGGGGGCGGGGCTTGCCACCACGCGCTTGCGGAGCAGCGCTCCAGAGGGCTCCAGCCCGAAAAGACCCCTGGTCTCCATAGGCTACAATTGAACTAGAATCACCAAATTTTTTGCATACCCCTATTATGCTTTTCAGTATGATTTGTAAGCTCTCTTGAGTCACAGGGAAAAGTGGGATATAAATATCTGAATAAATAAGTAGTTTGGGCAGGTTGATAACATTTAAGCAACTGTGTGTTTGTTAGGTTAGGCAGGGTTCTGACAGTGATTGTTCCACCTCTGTTATACTTTACCTGTAATGCTGGTTGTCATATTTCTCTCTCTCTCTCTCTCTCTCTCTCTCTCACACACACACACTCACACACACAACTAAAGTAGACTGTAAGAGGGTTTTTTTCCTCCTTTACATGCTTGTATGTTTTCTAAGGGTCAGTGCAAGGTGATGGCCCAAGCCCAGATCTACCAATATAATAGATTGGGGTGTTCTCCAGAGGCCACGCCTACTAATATAGTGGAAAGGGGTGGATAGACCTTTTCTCTGGAGGCCTGGTCTACCCCTGTAGAGGACAACATTTTGTGTAATGAAATACTGCATACATCTACTATGTATACTTTTTCCTCAGGCATTCACATATGAAATCAAATATATTTCAGTTATGTCATAACTATTTCAATTCATACATCAAAGTACGAAATAAAAGCTAGACTAAAAAAATAGTCTTTACATCATAGGGGCGTAATAGGCTTCTGTGCAAACTAATATAGTATGCACAGAAAGAAAAACTAGATTCGTTTATGTCTACTCATTATTTGCAATCACATTGCAATCCCAATTTTGAATCAGTGCAACTGTGAGCAGCCTACTAATCTGAACCATATTGTCTTTTTAAAACAAAGGCATCATGTGATACTTAGGCATACTTAAGTCACACAGAAATGGAAATCAAGCCTCTAAACCCTATTGACCTAAATAATACTCAAGTATACTTTAAGGATGCCTTATGCATGAGTTATGCCAAATATACTCAAATACTCAACCAAAGAGTAAAACAACAGTAGACAACACACAAACCTCTTTGGACAACATGTGTAGTTTTGTTAACAGTTCAGTGTAAGGGAGATCCTGCATTTAAACAGTGAAAGTTCTCCTATAGTACTTTTTAAGTGCGGCAAGGTGGAATGAAGTGACTTTGAAAAAAACCTTTTTCTCACTGTGTGTGTGTGTGTTATGTGTGTGTATACACATGTGTATACATGCAGGCACAGGGTAGAAACAAAGGACACCGTCTGAACTGTCCCCAACAGAGAATAGTAACTACAAGGACACAGCTGAAACTCCCTGTCTAGCCTGTAGAAAATGCAGCTGTTCTTTCTCAATAAGAAACAAATTTCAATTTGGAGCATAAATGCAAGTGACATGAGATCACCTCAGACGACATCAGGTGTATAGTTTATAGTCAAACTATGTTCAAACAGCAGTAATTTTTCTGTATTAGAATTCTAGGTTAATGGTGAATAAGGGGGGAAATCTATAGTTATATTTTAATTTTCCTTTGAACTGCTTTTGGATTCTTGTTTAAATCGATTACTTGCTTTCCTCTGAAATGGGTAATGTGCAACATAAAACCTTTCAATACTTAAGTCTTCATTGTTCAAGAGGGAATACTATAGACAGTAAATGAAGTTCGTTAATGGCATAAGATCAATGCATGCGAAAATTACAGTCAAAAGATATTCTATGGTATGTAATGTCCTTCGTAGATTTTTAGATCAGCACTATTTATATGTCAGGATCGGTAAGCTGTTTTTGTGCATTCCTGACAGGTAATGTATAGTGTGCATTCTTATAATGAGAAAAGGTCACATTCTACTATTCAAGCAAACTGAACTCCTTCATTGGAAGTTACGTCATGATCCCTCTGCACTTTGGGTGAATGCATGGAGATGAAGAGCAAGCACAAGCACTCTGGCCCCGCCTTCCGCCTCCACGTTAGCATCACTGTACTACTAGTGGCCATGTGTACACTTCCTTTACCAAGATTGGGGGACACTGTGTTTTGAGCATCACCAATGACAGGAGGAAACATATGCATGGACACTGGGTACTCATATAGGCATCATGCTGAGGAGCTCATGATTATATAGAGGAGGAAAAAGCTCATGCTTTTTCTCCCTCCCCATGTGTTCAGTCAGTGTGTGAAGGTGTTGTGGGTAGAAGGCTTTTATGAAGAAGTAAAGGAGAGAGAAAAACAGAAAGGAGAAATCCACAAAGAAACGCACGTTTTTTTGAGACTTGCTTTTAACAGCTTCCTCCTCAGAACCTCTAGATTGTTTCTTCAATAACTCCACTTTGAGGCAGTTTTTCTTTGATAAGGCCTTTTACCAAATCCCCAAATTCCTTTTTAAACTTGAATACACACAACAACAACAAACCTAAATAGAGTACACTCCTGAATAGCCATTATGGGATCATATTTTGGTAGACTGATGCTACTCTATAGTTTCAGGAACATAGTCATCTTAACTCAAAGACATAGTGGTGGAAAGTGCCATCAAGTCAGAGCTGATTTATGGCAACCCCATAGGGTTTTCAAGGCAAGAGATGAATAGAGGTGGTTTGCCATCTCCTGGCTCCGCATAGCAACCCTGGACTTCCTTGATGGTCTCTCATTCAAGAACTAACCAGGATCAGCTCTACTTAGTTTCCAAGATCGGGCTAGCGTGGGCCACCCAGGTCAGGGCAATGCAAAGATACTAATACCAAACTGGTTTATATCTGTTTTAAATATGCATATTTTAGACATTCATTTCAAACTGATATTCTGTACACCAGCCTTCAAATTCATGCCTGTACTTTATTTTGAACACAACCTGTTTTGATTCTTTTGCACAAATTAGGACACAGGCACAATGTATAGAATGTGTCTTAAAATAACAGATTATGTGGACAAAAACAGTGAAATCTGAATAATTAAACAATATACTGCCACACAGAAAAGCCTGAACATTCACAACACCTCTAGACAGCAGAAGAAAAGGTACAAATAACACTGCAGAATCGTGCAATATCTTACTATTTCTTGCAAACCTACATGAAGTAGCAGTAACAAGAACAAACAACGTATCTTTCCTAGCACACTTAACTAGTAGCTAAAAGGCATGTGAAATTTCATGGAGAGGAATGGAAGTCAGGAAGTAATTTCTGTAAATTCAAGGATTCAATCTGAACGTTCTGAATGTTTTAAGGAACACTGACATTACAGATATTTTCTTTTATTTTTCTACCCCCTGGAACTCCCAAGCTACTCAGCAGGCAATTGTAACATTGAAATTGCTATTTTAATAGGCATAAATATATAAACACATATATGCAAATTAGCAGGCTTTGCATTTGCTATCAGAAATGGCAAACCATAGAATGATAGTTGGAAGGGACTCCAAGGCCATCTAGTCCAACCCCCTGCACAATGCCAGAAATTCACAAATACCACTCTCCATCTTAACACCTTTAATACAGTATTAAACAAAATATGATTCCTGTTATTAATTCAGTTGCTAGGCATATCAAGTAAAAAGAAATTAGGGGAAATTAAAAACAAAAACAAAAAAAACCCAGGCCCCATACATAACTTCACAGTCTCAGGTCAGTTAGGCAGTAGTAGTGAGACTGATACTGCTGTGGAGGAGCATTCCTCCACCTTAAGTGGCTCTTACAAGGGAAGAAGAGCTATTATTTAAGCTGATGGGACATGCCTTAAGCTGGAGGAAGGCATCAGACTTTGCTCAGAAGAGTGGTAGGATCCACAGCAATTACTGTAAATGTTACAGAACTGCACATGGCTTAACCTGTTTCCACTTGTTATTTTGTTTTCTTTTTGCTGGAAAAATAAATAGTTGAATGTTGGCATTCCACACAGCCATACTCACCTCTGCTGGATGCTGGATGATGTACAAACAGGTAGAGACTTTCAAGGGATTGACTGGCAAGAACGGACACAAGCATACCTTTTGAGGACGGCTAAAGGACAGTAAGAAAAAAAATCAGCAAAATAATTTACAGCACAACTTTGTTGCACAATATGTACCTATTTTACCACAACACAAAATTTAGGTAGAGTGTATTTTCTACTCTAAACACCAAGTAACTGAATGTTTCTGTAGAAATTCTACTGCAAGTTTTGAAACAATAGATGAAGATTCTGAAATGTTAACTGCACCGTTGAAAATATTTAAAGCATACCAAAGGTATAACACAGTAATATCATCATGTTGTGACCCTGTGTGCTTATAATGAGGAGAAATTAACAATTTATTTTCAGCCATGGTACTTTTCCAATATGTGCTACTCTATTTTTAAAGTTTTGTTCAAAAGCCTGCTGTCTCTTTTTGCAAAGTTAGGAGTTGTGTTCTTTGGTTCTAGATAGAAATGGACTTTGGAAATTATTTTTGGCACCACAAAGACATTTCTACAAAAAAAAATTTTTGGGGGGGGGGGGGGAAGAACACAAAAGCCTGTATGCAACCAGCAGATTGCCTAAACCTGCATCTAACATGCTGTCTCCAAGTCCAACAATTTAAAAACATGCCTGAACATGCATACTTGCTGACACAAATTGACAAATCCAGATCTCATAATTAAACATTTAGGCTACTTTAAAATCTCTAGAGCACTTCTTTTGCTATTGTACCTTTCATCAGAGATTGTGTGAGATAAGAACTCAGTCAAGTGCACCTACTATTAGAATGTCTGCCTAGCTAAAGACTAAAATGAGGTTAAATTATTTGAACATGATGATGTTCAAATACCTACTCAGCCTCAAAAGTGGCCTTGAACAAGTCACTATTCCTCAGCATAACACAGATGTGCTAAAGCACTTTGTACACTGAGAAATCAAACAAAAAAAATTGAAACAGTGGCCTAAATGCTAAAATTGTACTGTCCAAACAGAAGGTAGCCCATTTACCATCAAAAGAGAGTGTCCAGAGGGTGGGGACTTCCAAATGGCTTTTCAGGGGACACAGTGGCTATAGATGTGGGGGGAAATACTCTCTTTCTTTGTTACACTCCTCTTATGCAAGCTGAAATGCCCCTCACTCAAGCAGCAGGATTTTTGGAACTCACCCAATGCTTGCAATGTTTGGGAAGAAAAGATTTTTGAATGAATAATGTCAACAATCTGCTTTCTTTCAATATGTGGTTTGACCTCAATCACTGACAATTTTTTTAAAAAGGGAGGAGATAGAAATTTCTTCTCTAAGCCAAAACTCTACAGAGCATTAAAGTAACAGCACTCTTGATAAGCCCTTGTATATATTCTTTTCCCCACACATCTGCTCTGTTTTCTCCATCATACGTTTTCAACTAAAATATCCCTTCAATAAAAAACAAAACCCACAGGGTTAACTATTTATGCTGATGCTTCACATAGATGGTCTAAATTTTGTTTACAGTTCTAAGAATGCAAGAAACCTTAACTTTACAATTATACCAGTTGGAAAGCACTCCTGTGTTTATAAATTATACACACACACACACATCACAGAGAGAGTAATAGAAATAATATATTAGAATGGAAATTTGCAGAACACAGCTACTTATTTTTCTACAGTATTTAGAATATATGTAGAAATGACACAGAATATTTCTTTTGATAAGCATTACAATAATATTAATCAATTTTAAGACGCATTACCCATAAATAATGTTAATAAATCAATATTAAGAAACTGCACCACAAATCAAACACTCCAGTTGGCCCATGAGATTCCAAAGGGAGTGGGGAAGGGGGAGTTCTGCAAATGCACATCTCTTTGAGAAAGTACTTCTTGAGATATGCTTGACCCAGACTATTTAGTACTTTGTAGGTCAAAATCACTACCATGAATTATGTGCAGAAATGCAGAAACGAATTGTCAAAAAGCAGAGTCTCACGATCACTAGCACAATGTGATCTATTCCTGGCCTGAGGTCCTGCCCCATTCACATACTGTCACTACTTACACTACTTGCAGTTTAGAACAGCCATCCACAGAGCACAAGGCAAACAAAACATTGGCCAGGTTGTTATCCTTCAAGGGAAGAAATGGTTATCACTGTTGTGATAAGGAAATGCAAGATATCTTGTTTAACACAGAAGAGACACTGTCCCAGAAAAGTGACCCTCCTTCCTGGGAATGAAGCAATAAACTCTTCAAATTTCAGTCTGAAAGGAGATGGTTTCCTTTTATGGAGACAAGTAGGCAGAACAGGGATGATCTTTTGCCCACCTGCCAGGAAGAAGATACAGCACTGTTTTTGACATCTAGAGTTAGGGTAATAAAAGTTGACAACATGCGCTTTGTCAGGATTGGCAAAAGGTGCTGGGCAGCACATGTGGGAAATTAATCCCAAATTCTAGGATAGGTCAAAGAGAAATTCTCCCAGGTGGGAGGGAAAGACTTAAAAAGATAAGCTACTCAGTGAAAGGTGCACAAGCTAAGGACAAGGGAGAAATGGAGTGAAATCCTGTTAGAGAATGAACTGGATATTTACTTGATGGACTATATTTATTGCTACACACATGGACTGCGCACACACACATAGGCTCAAAGAACTGTACACTTTAAGTCACCTGTTGTGATGCAACACATAGAAGGTGCCTGAACATGCCTTACATGTAAATAAGGTTTCAGCTACACAGTTACCAGCCTGGTGAAGAAGCATACACCTCCATTATTGTGAGCAATGAGAACAACAACTTTGAGAAGAGACAGCCCCCATTGCAGAACTACTTGTGGTCACGTATTATCCATCGCCTGCTTTGTTCCTGCATTGGTATTTCCTGCCAAATGGACATTTGGTTATCAATAGAATGGCCAGCTTCATCAACACTACAATGAAGCATCCTGACTCCTAGGTTTTCACACCTGTCCAGATGCCATACTCTGAGTAAGGTTTTAGGTTACAATACTGGCCACTCCTCTTAGGTAATCACTCTCCCTACATGCAACCAATAGGATTGTTTTTGGGACGGACTAACAGGTAGGTGGGATAAGAGGTAGGCACGGTTACCGCCCATCTCTTGAACCCACTAGAAAAGGAGAGAACGCGTCACCTGGCCCCTCCTACTTGATCAACTAGCATCTCCCACGCAACAACCCCTGTCTGCTTTTACCCCTCTTAAGTCCCCCTTGCTATCCCCAACCCTTGCCTCTACTGCCCACGTGTTCCGGCTGATTCTGGTCGTTTGTGAATTCCTTAGTTTTCTATTTCTTCCCCTCTATTCTTCATTGGAACAACCAAGCTGTAAGACAGGTAAGTATTGTCCACCATCACCTCTACCTGCTAATGCAAAAGTGCTTATTTCTTACTGTAAATCTCAGAAACTTGATTTAATGTGTGAGTGCATCAGTATTGTTTGTATGAGATATATTTTTAAGTAAAAGACATCTATTTTAACTACAACAGCCTCAAATCCTTTACTGGAAACCCTTGATGGGAACAGGACCTTGGTATAAATTGGCAAGAACCCATTTATAAATTGCCAATTGCTGTAAATAAAGCAATTCGGCTAACAATCCACCTTGACCATCCTGCATTTGAAGTTACAGCTTTTCTTGTGTCCATTTCTTGGAATGAAATGCTAGTGACTGCACAACCTACTTAACTTATTTATTTATTATTTTAGATTTCTATCCTGCTGCCTTGCCTGCGCAAAACTTCTTGGTTTTGTTTCTTTTTATTTGTTTCACCTCCCATATCTCTGATTCTGCTGCACTAGGAACCTGGTAGTGATAGTGAAAGAAAAGCAGAGTTTGAGTGGTGGCAACCAACCCCATATGATAGGAGGGAAGGGAGCAAGTTGGCAAGTCCCTTTTCATACCTTCAGATTCCCCCACCACCTCTTGGATGCCCTCAGGCAAGAAAAGCTGGGAGGGGGAGTCATCAGTCATATCAATTGTAACTGTTTCCATTTTCATCCACAGATTCTGTAGCTTAAAGTATGAGCACAATCCACTGGATTCAGTACCTGGTCTTTCCAGAGGTGTACAGCTCCTACTTATAAAGGCATAGCTTGTTCTTCTAATTACACAAGTCACCTATCAACATCTGTCAGATCAGCATTCAGCTTCTCTTTGTTAACTTTCTTCCAGCCCATGACTGCTTCCAGTCACTTGCTAGGCACACCACTGTTGCTTCTGGCTCAAATGAAATAGAGCTACAATCCGAGGTGTTGAACTCATTTGTTATAAGAGCCGGATCTGACATAAATGTCACTTTGCTGTGCCAGGCCATGTACGCTATAAAATGTAACGACAGGTACAGGAGATATCAACTTTATAAAGGTCATTTCAGATGCCAAATGACAATAGCAGGTGAATGACAACAGCAAGTTTGATTGGATAAGGTGATATGCAGAGGGGTAGTAGAGGCAGAAATATGAGCATTGGTAATGAGACAAGAAACCTAGGTTTCAATTCATTCCAGAAGGATTCAGTCCATGAGGATATAAAGAATAAATGGACATAAGTCTGACATTAGAAACCACAACATTCAAAAACCAGTGAGGGAAAAAATTAACCTTCCAGGACATACAGTTGCTGGTCTAACAGTAGCAGTTCTCTCACAAAGGAATTTCAAAGGGAGATTAGAGAGACTACTGAATTGCAACTGATAATGAAGCTCAGGATAATGCATCCTCCTAGACTGAATTAAGACCTAGATTTCCTGGCTCATTACCAACACCTGCTATTGTCATTAAGCATCTGAAATTACTCCACTCTCCATGATATAGGGGCAGATAGACTCACACTCTAGCCATATCTGAAGAAGTGAGCAGTGACTCATGAAAGCTCATGCACTGCCACAAATTCTGTTAGTCTTTAAGGTGCCACTGGACTCTTGATCTTTTCCACTAATAAAGATTGCAAGCTCTGTTGTTATGCTTCTTTTTCTTCCATTTATTAGAATTGGAGAGGAGGATCTCTCCAAATGAAATAATGTGCTGATTTCAGACTTGGCAAAATCCACTCATTGTT